TCCTTAGTTTATTGTAATTCTCAGTCATCTTCATTTGGTAAACCAATTTTCAACTATGGGGCTTCAATATCACTTAACTTTTGAGGAGAAGGAGTCATAGTTTGATTGCAACACAATCTTGAACTATAATTTTTTATTAAAATTGGACGTGACATATATAGAAATCCTAATTTGGATAGAAGTAGATATTTGAATTATAAATGGATTGGGATTAAGTATCGCTTAAATTGTATTTGGCGTTTGTACATAAACAGAAATCCAAATTTGGATAGAATTAGATATTTGAAGTATAAAGGGATTGGGAAGTATCGCCTAAATTCTTTGCCTATATATATTAACTCCTTTTGCACCTAATTAATTATTCAAACAATTTTAAAGGATTTGGAAGTATCGCCTGTAATTCTCAGCTAATTAATTACTCATTCTTTCTTCTGAAACATGTCGTTGTCGTTGAGAAGTGCCACATTGTTATGTCTGTTTCTGCTGTTGGGTTGCATAGGCATTGCTACTGCCACTGCAACGGAACCCAAACAGAATCGTTTGGTACTTCTTCAATTGGATTGTGGCCTCGATGGTGGTGGCGTACTCACCCAAAAATACCATCACCACCAACTCCATCTCCATGTCCGATTGATAATGCTGCTTCACCAATGCATATGGCTCCATCCCCAGTTGATGATGTGGTTTCACCACCACACACAGCTCCAACTACTTCTTGCATCAAGGTGGATGGTTGTGCATTAGATTTGATCACTTCCGTTTTCAAGCGTAGAATTTCATTATCCACTCAATGTTGTCAAGGACTTTCAACAATTTCAGATGATTGCTTTTACAGAGAGTACACGCACTTAAATACGGTACCATTTTTCCTTGGAAAAGTGAGAAACTATTGCAGACATGCGGTTGATCATGCGGCTCCATCTCCATCTCCCGTTGATAATGCCGCTTCACCAACTCATGTGTCTCCATCTCCATCTCCAGTTGATGATGCGGCTTCACCAACTCATGCGGCTCCATCTCCAGTTGATAATGCGGCTCCATCTCCATCTCCAGTTGATAATGTGGCTTCACCAACTCATGTGGTTCCATCCCAATCCCCATCCCCGGTTGATGATGTTGGTTCCATCCCCAGCTGATGATGTGATTTCGCCACCACACACGGCTCCAACCACTTCTTGCATTAAGTTGGACGGTTGTGCATTAGATTTGATCACTTCCGTTTTCAAGCGTAGAATTTCATTATCCACACAATGCTGCCAAGTACTTTCAACAATTTCAGATGATTGCTTTTACAAAGAGTACACGCACTCAAAGAGGGTACCATTTTTCCTTGGAAAAGTGAGAAACTTTTGTAGTCATGCGGTTGATAATGCGGCTACATCTCCATCTCTAATTGATAATGCGGCTTCACCAACTCATGTGTCTCCATCTCCATCTTCACCAACTCATGTGGCTTCACCTACTCATGCGGCTCCATCTCCATCTCTAGTTGATAATGCGGTTCCATCCCTATCCCCATCCCCGGTTGATGATGTCGTTTCTCCATCGCACATGGCTCCCTCTTGGGGCCCAGCCTCGGCTCCAACCACTTCTTGCATCAAGGTGGACGGTTGTGCATTCAATTTGATCACTTCCGTTTTCAAGCGTAAAATTTCATTATCCACACAATGCTGCCAAGTACTTTCTACAATTTCAGATGATTGCTTTTACAAAGAGTTCACGCACTCCAAGAGGGTACCATTTTCCTACGCAAAGTGAGGAACTATTGCAGTCATCATCAAGCCTGAAGCAGATTTTTTCATTCTCTTTTTTTTTTTTTTGGTCATTTTGCTTATTTTATTTAGGATTTTCCACTTAATAGGTTTTTAGGTGTTAGTTAAATACTTTCGATTTAATTCTTTAATTAGTTTAATTGGATTTTCATCTCTATTTTACAATTTAATTACTACTCTCTCCGCGTACCTTTATTTGTCCATGTTTGACTTGGCACACTCCTTTACTATCACTCCTAGACTATTGATAATGTTAACTATGGAACACAACCTTTTACTTATTTGTGATATGGTAGACATATCAATCAACTATACCTTGGTCCTAATAAAGTTGAGTACGGTTATATGAATCTTCCGCAACTATTCATTTCTATTCGACCCCAACATTCCAACAAATTAATTAATAAGTAAGAAGACTTACCATGACAATTTTACATTAGCTATCAACCTGCCACAGTCGTACAACCTACAACAAGACTTTGTTAGCTCAAAATAATTGAAAATCAAATTCCTAAACTTCTGATTTGATTCACTACTTTCTGAATAGTTTATACTTTATAGGTTCTGAGCATCAAATTTCTTTATTCTGGCCGCAATGTTGTATTTGATTATTAGGACAAGCATTCATCTGTGGCAGACTGGCAGTTTAGACTATACCAATGAATCGATCTTTAATAAGATGGCGGACAAGCATTACATCAGTTCTTGCCTCTGTATCGAATCTTACACTATCTATCCTAGAAATAATTTACTTTGAATTGTCTCCTTGAATCAATCTAGATTAAATTCATAATCCTTTTTTATTTCACCTTAAGTAGAGAATTTTTTATCAGTTACTTGTTATAGCACCTTTTCAGCATAATCCAATATTAATATAGCAACTCATCTTCCTGCATCATTCTGCGAAATTAGAATTAGACGATTAACTTGGCCAGATTGAGTTTACGCAGAATTACTGATCCAACTGTGGTGTCTGCCATTAGAAACATTGATCTTTTGGTTCTGTAAGCTTGAATATCAGCTTTGTCCACCGTGAGGCGACCCCTGATGTGTCGTGGTAAGGCTGCTGAGGTGTAGTATTCCTCCATCTCCTCTAGGTTGCATGATATACAAAATATATAGTTTACTAGTATTGTTCAATTTTCCTCAGAATTGTGAACCAGCACAACGATACATAATAGTGGTGCGAGGTCCAACTTGCATGCATCTTGAGGCGTAGTTGTTCCTGCTTTTGTTTAGATAGAAGCCTTGGTATGTCTGTTTTTTATTTTATTGTGATCGATACATTAATGATCTTTCGTTGTACCATGTTCTGTTTCGTTTTCTCCATCATGTCTGTTATGTTTAGTATCAGACTGATGATTCCTTCTGTTTACTGCATTTACAATCCTGGCAAGAAGGTAGGTACCAAAATTTCATCTTTGTCCCTGTAGGATCGAATCGTAAAGATCAAGTTAGAATTGGATAGTAACTTTGACTGAATTACGGAATGTGATCATTTTCTTCTTTTGATAGTAGGGTGCAGTTCAGTTACATTCCAGATAAATTATCGAATTTGTCATTTGGATTCAAAATGCTAATTATGTATTGATGTACTTGCGTTAGATCCAGTGTTTGATATAATGGTTTTTCGTCTAATCTAAAATATTGAATGTTTCTAGATTGAGGATTCATATAACCAAAGCTAAATTGATTTCGAGGATTCATATAACTAATCTCGACTAATTTGTGTACTTTAGAGAAAACTTGTGTACTCAAAACTGTATATTGGAGGTTTAAGAAATGAGCAAAGGTTTCCTTGTGGCTTCTTCCCCTGCTTGTCTAAAAACTTTATTGGGCTTTATCTGCTGATGTTGATACGTTCAATATGTGTAACGTCATTTCTCTTGATTTAGTATACGAGACATGGAGAAGGTTGGAGCTTCCGAGTTATGGAGAAGGAGGTTATCCTATGACACTAGGAGTGGTGGGAAGTGATCTTTCCGCGCTTTGTCCTAATTTCTTGAAGGAAATAATTCTAACGTGTGGATAATGAAAGATTATGGAGATAAAGTATCATCAAGGGGCGACTCATACATATCAGTGACCTAAAGCCAAAATTGAACGGAGGGTCTTAAATTTTAATTTTTTTAATGAAATTTGTGATAGTCAATCGATTTAGGCTCCCCTGAGTATCATGGACAAAGATTTTCACCATCGATCATCCTAAAAGATTTTGGTAAGTTTATATCCTTGTCACACTTTTTCTTTATACCTTTTTGTCAGTAGCTAGATCCGATTAAACTAGATTTTATGAGAACATATTCTTCATATTTAAGATTGAAGGCGAAACGACCTCTCTATGGAAAAAAAAGTTGGACTTTTTTTTTCGTCTTCAAAATATATGACAAGAAGTTGAATATATGCATGAATCCATACATATCTTATTTGCTCGGAGGAGTAGTAAGCATTTCTCCTTTTTATTAGTATTGTGACCAAATATATGTTATCCTATCAAAAGATTAGAAAAATCGAGAGAATTTCATATTTAAAATTTGAGACTGTTTAGAGGTGATTATTAGTTTATCGAAATTGAATAGTCGGTGTATATTCATATAGTTAGTGTATACTTCATGTATAGTTATGTTATTTTTCAGCTTTTTGAGCGTATCATAATGTATAGTTCATGTATAGGTAAACTATAGGCAGAATGGTCTGGTGGACCCTTGTACTTGTATCTGTTTGTATTGTGAACCCTTCTACTTACCCTTTTGTCATCTGGACCCCTGAACCCATCCAAACCCAACATTTTAAACACTTTTTTTGATGTGGCATCCTATGTGGAAAGACTTCACATGGAGCGTGTGATACACACAAGGGAAGAGCGTGAGACGCCTTAAAAATAAAGTAACGGTCAGATTTTGACCTTTAAAGGCCATCTTTCTTCTTTATTTTCACTCAAACACCATTGTTGGACAAATTTTGAGCTTTTTTCTCCTCTTTTTCTCGATTTTGTCTTTTCAAATTTTTTTCTCTTTTATTTTTGGTGCCTTTATTTTTTCCTTCGATCTACTCATCTTTTTTTTGTGTGTGATTCTATTGTATTTTTGTTTCATCTTTTTTTGTGTGGTTCTATTGTATTTTTGTTGGTTTTGATTTTGTTGGTCTTCACAATGACGGTTCGATTTTGCTACTGTGGAATATATGTTGAACTAAAAGACATCAAGAACACCAACTAATCCTGGAAGAATGTTTTGGGGTTGTCAAAAATATTCATCCGGTAATAGGTGTGGATTCTTCCGTGCACTTGGAGTGCAACCTGCACTTGGATCTGCACTTGGACCTGCACTTGGACCTGCACTTGGACATGCACTTGGACCTGCACTTGGAGTGCAACCTGCACTTGGATCTGCACTTGGACCTGCACTTGGACCTGCACTTGGAGTGCAACCTGCACTTGGATCTGCACTTGGACCTGCACTTGGACCTGCACTTGGAGTGCAACCTGCACTTGGATCTGCACTTGGACCTGCACTTGGACCTGCACTTGGAGTGCAACCTGCACTTGGATCTGCACTTGGACCTGCACTTGGACCTGCACTTGGAGTGCAACCTGCACTTGGATCTGCACTTGGACCTGCACTTGGACCTGCACTTGGACATGCACTTGGACCTGCACTTGGAGTGCAACCTGCACTTGGATCTGCACTTGGACCTGCACTTGGACCTGCACTTGGACATGCACTTGGACCTGCACTTGGAGTGCAACCTGCACTTGGATCTGCACTTGGACCTGCACTTGGACCTGCACTTGGACATGCACTTGGACCTGCACTTGGAGTGCAACCTGCACTTGGATCTGCACTTGGACCTGCACTTGGACCTGCACTTGGACATGCACTTGGACCTACACTTGGACATGTACTTGGACCTGTATTTACACTTGACTGGCTTCCAACACTTGTTCCAGCAGCAACATTTGAAGTTGCAGCACTTGTTCCAACAGCAGCATTTTTCTACAAACATATTTTAAAGTCAAAAGTATAACAATAGTAAAATTCAGTAACAAAGAGACATTAAAAGCACAACTTACCAGAGTTGGACATCCTTTCTTGTTATGTCCAAAAGTCTTACACACAGAACATTTCATTTTCTTCCCTTCCTTGTAGCCTTTCCAAACTTCTTCTTAACTGGCTCATCACTATCTTTTCTCCTATTTTTTCCTGGTCTTCCTGGTCATAGCTGTAATTTCAGGTGGTTCAATGGTTGGTCTATCACTTTTTGGCCACATCTTCATGTTTGTCATAGGTTGAATAAACCTATTATATGCTTTCAGGTATGTTTCCTTCTTATACCAGTGATCAACAAATGTATCAAACAACCCCAAATCCTTATAATGAATTGTTGTAAGTGCATGGCCACAAGGAATTCCCTTTAATTGCCATGACCTACAACTACACACCTTCTTTCTTAAGGTCAACAACATGTTTATTATGGTGGATCATGAATCTCAAAGCCAAGATCACCATTAAACTTTACCTCACAATTATCTGCAATTTCAGCATTTTTCTAAGATATCCATAGCCATTGGTGCTACATCAGTAATCCATTTTTCTGAAAATTCTCTCACGTGATTCATTCTTTCCATAACTTTGACTCTTAATTCCTCTAGCATAGTGATTATTGATTTGAACCTAGCACCTAAAATTCAACTGTTGAAAGTCTCACACATGTTGTTCTCAACCACATCACACTTGCTATGTTCTTTAAAATATGCCCTACACCATGCTTCTTTGTTATACTTTAACAAAGCTTCTACAATGCCTACTCCTAACTCACTCAAGTCATCAAGTTTGGACTGTAAAAGTACCTCAAATGATGCCCTGGCAACCTGCCAGAATTTTCTTCTCCTTTCTTCACCCCTCCAGTCTTTCTTCCAGTTTGCCCATATATGCCTAGCACACCATCTAATTTCAGCATTTGGCAATACATCAATAAGTGCAAAATGAAGACCCTGTCAAATAAAGAACATTTGACATACAACAATGTTAACTATTAATTACTCCAAAAATGAAGAAATAAATTTAGCAAATAATATAGTAATACCTTTTGCATATCAAACATCACTGTTAGTCCTTCACCTTCTGTAAGCTCCAAATCATGTTTGATGCACTTGAGAAACCAAAACCATGTGTCCTTGGTTTCTTTATCAACTACTGCCCATGCTATAGGGTATATCTGATTATTTCCATCTTTGGAAATGCAAGATAACAATTCACCTTTACATACACTTTTAAGAAATGCACCATCTAAACCAATAATCCTTCTACACCCTTCTTTCCATCCAATTTTTAAGGAACCAAGACAAATATAGATGCTCATAAACACCTCTTTTCCTGGAATTGTGTTCTTGAATGTCCTAATAGATACAGTAGTTCCAGGATTTGAGGTCATTAATTGCTCAGCATAATCATACAACCTAGCAAACTCCTCTCTGAAATCTCCCATATGTTCATTCATAACTCTCAGTTTTGCCTTTCTACAACTTGTCTTACTAACATACAAACCATATTGCTTTTGTATCAAAAACTGAATCTTGATGTAGTTTGATGGTAGGCTCACTCATAATCCTCTCCTTGTAATGTTTACTAATCCAAATGGGGGTACACAGTTTGTTTCTTGTTCTTTTAAAACACTTATGGACAGGAAAATATGTTTTAACACTGAAATTTCCAGTGTTACCATCAATACAATAATATGCCAAGGACAACCTTTTCTATTACACTTTGCCCTTATCCTTTCCTTCTCATTAGGTTTCAACTTAATATTAACACCCTTCTGAATAGAGTAAGTTTGCAGTGCCTCCCTGAACTCTATGTGATTCAAAAATACCATATACAGTTGAAATAAAACCTTTTTAGCAGTTGGATCAAAGTAGATCTTTGTACTTTCCTTCCTAGGTGCTGGATCTACCACTTCATCATTCTCAACAGGATCCCCTTCATCTTCACTAATGTCACTACCAGGATCTGAGCTATCAAAATAAGGGTCATCACCACCCAAATTGCCTTCAAATCTCCCCCTCTTCTCCTTATAAATGTCTTCAAAACCAGCATCTATACCTACAGGACCAGATGGTATCTCATCTAGATTTACTCTAGCAGTCTTTTCTTTAACTTGTTCTTGAATATTAGACTGCCTAGCTTGAAGCAACTCCTCATCCAAATCACTCAAATCATCAATATTTTCATCAATATCATAGAGTGAATCAGAATCAGAATGTTCTTCAACTCTAGGGGCAGGGGCTTGTTCTTCAACTAAAGGGGACTGCTCTTCAACTAAAGGGGGCTGATTTTGGTTTAAATCCCTATTTTCATTTTCATCAAATGGTTGAGATGAAGACACATCAGCCCTATCTATTTGTGGGGAGGATGACAGATCAGCCCTATTTTTGTGTGGGGAGGAGGACACATCAGCATTATCTTGTTGTGGAGATGAGGACACATCAGCATTAGTGCTAGGCAATACAAGTATCTCCTCTACAACTAAAGGTATACTAATGGGATGTACAACATATACATCAACAAAATCAGCACCCTTCAAACCATTCAGAAAGTTTAAAACATCAGAATCAGTATTTAACATGTAAAAAGTACCCTTCTTGTTGACTCTACATCCAAATGTCTCAACATTTTCAACACCCAATTCCATTGCTATTTTATGAAATAACATAATATGCAACTCATCTACATCTATATTAATCTTTTCAACACTACTGATTCCATTGACATACCTTAAAGTAGGATTAGATACAAAACAGCCCCCATAGTGAAATTGAAGTGTCACTATAGTTAAAGTCATTACCTTACGATGCCTGTAAAGTAAAAAATAATAACTACAT